AGCGGCCACTGTACTCCAGTCTGGATGACAGAGTGAGACTCCAACTCAAAAAAAAAAAAATGATATTCAAGTTTTCTTCAGGTTAAGGACTAAGGCTGAAAATAGTTTTCTGGCACCAAGACTAAGATTATTTAGGCATAATGATAATCTAAAAACCACATATAAGATTACTGGGTAAACATGGCAGGGAAGAGAAAAGAAAACTTCTCCTTACATTCCACAAACTTTTGGGGACATTCTCATGTTAAGTCAATGACAGATGGCCAGACTTCAGAGTAGACTCCAAAGAACCTGCTACCCCACTCACCCCTCTCCGCTGGATGGCCTTCCGGATCAGAGCCACAACGTCTCTGCCTTCTACTCCACTGGACTTGAAGCCCTTGGTCCACGAGACCAGGAAACTCTGGAAAATAACCAAGGAATTAATATTGATTTCTTACAATTAAAACTCAGACCACATTTCTCAAACAGCCATCATTGGTGGAGACCTCTGCTGTTGGGCTAAGTCATAACTGAATTTATATACTGCTTCCTGGCTAGCTAGGAAGGAGAAATTTGGGCCCATCAAAAACCAAGAAAGGGGATTATATGAACAATTCCTTGATAATATGTCCCAAGAAGTGGAATAGCAGGCTATAGAACTTCCACTATAAGAAGGAGCCATGCGTCCCGTAACAGTGTTTCAGTCAACAAAAGACTGCATATATGACAACTGTAACAGCAGATTATCATGAAGCTAAAAAGTTGCTATCACCTAGTGATGCTGCAACATATTATCTTTTATTCATTAACATAATTTAGATACATAAATACCATGGTGTTACAGTTGCCTACAGTATTCAGTACTGTATAGTAACATGCTGTAAAAGTTTATAGCCACCAGGCTAGGTGGCTCAGCCTGTAATCCCACGCCTTTGGGAGGCTGAGGTGAGTGGATTGCCTGAGCCCGCGGGTTTGAGACCCGCCTGGGCAACTTGGCGAGACCAGATCTCTACAATAAAAATCAAAAATTAGCCGGATGTGGTAGCGCACACCTGTAGTTCCAGCTACGTGGAAGGCTGAGGCGGAAGGATCGCCGGAGCCCAGCAGGTCGAGGCTGCGGTGGCCTAGAGCGGCCACTGCACTCCAGTCTGGGTGACAGAGTAAGACCCCAACTCAAAAAAAAAAAAAGTTTGTAGCCAAGGAGCAACAGGTCGGACCAGATAGCCTAGGTGTGTAGCAGCCTATATACCACCTAGGTTTATGTAAGTGCACTCTGTGGTGTTCACACAACGGTGAAATCACCTAACAATGCATTTCGCAGAACATTATTTCCATTGTTAGCAACACATGACGAATCTCCGATCCTCACATCATTAACTCCTCAAGCATCTTTCTTTCAAGGGTCTTTATCGTAACACTTTCGTACAGGGGGGTTCCTGATTTCTCATTCCTGTTTCCCCGGAGGGGATGACGTGCAATGTGTGTGGAAGAGAAGGTGATAAACGGCATGCCCCTCCTCTGATATTTCTTCACCGTCCCCCACTCCTGCATTCACACAGTCACCTAAGGACCTCATATGCACAAGCTCTCAGTGCTGCCACCAACAGCACCCCAAGTGGTTCGAGAGTCCCTCTCAATCCTCCCAGCCTCAAGAGTGAAGAAAGAACAGTGAAGAATCCATCTTACCTCATCTAGTTTAGTCTGGTGGCAGGGAAATGAGAAGGTAAAACCCAGTGGGAGCTTCTTGTCTTTGATTTGTAGTTTATCCATGAAGTTGGCCAGACACTCAGCAATGTGGTCAAACAGCTAAGGATGCACAACACAGGAAGATGAGCAGAGAGGCAGGGAATAGCACAGAGATTAAGAGCATGGACTTCAGGCTCAGACTATGTGCAAAATCCCCATCTCCTCTGAAATCTACATTTCTTCCTCTACAAAATAGGAATGATAACTGAGCTTACCCTCACAGAGTTATAAAAAGGAGTAAATGAATCAGGGTACATAAGGACTTGACATATGTAACTGTCTTCCATTTAAGCCACTTATCCAAACCACTGTCAGAAGAACCCGAAGAGGAAGGGGAAATAACGGTCAATGTTAATCAGAAAGTCATCGCATGCCCTGGCAACAGAATATCCTTTAGCGGCCCTGTCAGAATCCCGCTGACAGGGAGGCCCAGCTGATTATCTTACCAGAAAGGATAACCCATCTCTCTGCCAAGAAGTATTTCAGCATCCCTGCCTTTGGTGAATGGGGGAGAAGGTAGGACAGTCTCTGTTGGCATTTTATAAACCAACTTAACAAAAATAAGTCACTTTTATAATTTTTCTCCATTCTAGAAAACTAATCTCCTGGGGCCACACAAAGACGTTACCTATGTTTTCTACTTTCAAAATAGAATTCCCAGTGAGTCTGTGAAGGACACTGAGGAATAAATAGAGTTTTAAGGGAAAGAAGCTCACAACTATGACTACACCGAGCAGGACCCACAGCTCCTAAGCCTGAGAAATACTGTATTCACAATAATCCAGGCTTTCGGTGGGCCCCAAAGCCCACAACCCCCAGCTTCTTACTTGCCCACTCCACACCCTCAAAGAAAAGTTGGTGATCCTCCAGGTGTTTAGAGGCTGAGGCCAGGGGCATCCTGGTGCAAATAGTAGGCAGAGGCCAAAGAAGCTGGGCAGATTCCAAGTGCCAAAGTTGACCAGGTGGCAAAGCCTAAAAGCCAAGGTTGGTGGAAGAGAACAACTACCCCTTTGCTCTCCAGGAAGGAGCAGGGAGAGGCCATTAAACCACGGGTGCCGCTCCAGGACCCAAAGTATGGTCTTGGAGCTGCAGTGTCATGGCTATTGCCTGGGAACATACTAGAAATGTGTGGGCCCCTGCTCTAGACCTACAGTAGCAGAATCTCTGGGGGGTGGGGCCCAGGGATCTGTTAGCAAGCCCTCCAGGTGATCCTGGTGCAGAGATTTGAGAACCACCACACGGAGCCACAGAAAGTGTTTGCATTTAGAGAAGAACAGAGTTGAGGGAGGCAGGTTGGCAGGCCTATTGGCTCCCTTGGGGTGTGGACAGAGGTATGATGCCTGGTATATGGTCAGCAGGAGGGGGACTTAGGAAGAGAGGGTCACCCCAGTCTGGGAAGTGGCCAGCTCTATCAAGTCTGACCCTCTGTCTGATCCCATGTGAAGTTAACCCTAGCCGAGAGTGAACTTTTGACCACCAAACCAAAACACTCCCAAGAGCAAAGGCTGGGAAGGACAAGGCTCCCTGGCCTTAGGGACCACCAACACAGGAGAGCCAATTATGTTCTGCTGGGAAGTAGATTACAGATAAGTTATATGCTATGTCTGTAAAACCAATTCCCATCCCAGCACCTTTTTCCTGGTATTGTAGTCAAAAATGTCTCGAGTACACATAGTTTTTATCCAAAAAAGGGGGAAGTTGCAGAAGTTGTGCAAAGAGATAGGACAATCATCAAAGATGGGAGGGGAGCTTTAGATGGAGGGAAAGCAAAATGGTTTCCCCTTCCTCAGCCCTGACCACTACTTCCTTTCCAACTGCACTCTCAACAGGGGGAGACAGAGAAAAATATGTGTGAAGAGGCATTAAATACTGCCCTGCCCAGTACAGTAGCCATTGGCCATTGGGGTCTAGTTCAATTAATTCCGCAGTTACACCAGCCACATTACAGGTGGCCAGTGGCTACTGTATTGCACAGGGCAGATATAGGTCAGTTCCACCACAGCTAAAAGTTGCACTGGCCAGTGCTGGGTACGAAGAACCTACATCTTTTTTTAAAGTGAGGAGACCATCTGCTTCCTTGAATTGGAAGACAATTTCCCTTTCTGTTTGCAGACAGCCGAAGGATAAGATGTTGGGAGAAAGAGCTGATGCCTTCCTGTCATAAAAAGGCTCAAAGGGCATCATTTTATGATGGTTAAAAAGTTTTCTTTTCCTTATTGGTCCGAGAACTGGCTCGCTTCCCTTCTGAGAAGATACACTTTTAAAATCTCAAGTTTGCAATCCACTGCTCTTCTGTGGCAATAAATCTATCAGAAGACACATTTTATCCAGGGACCCACACTGCCTAGGTTCACAGTTCTTCAAAGACTTCTGCAAGTTTCAGGTTTGAAGATTTGGTCTTAGTTTTAATTAAATTGTTTTTACAATTCATGTGTTTTCCCTTTAATTAAAACACAGATACCTAATACCAAAACAGTGGAAAAATAGCACCAGCAATCCATCATCAAAATAGTCACTGTGGCGCCAGGTGCAGTGATTTGTGCCTACAATCCCAGTGCTTTGGGAGGCTGAGGCAGGAGGATCGCTTGAGGACAGGAGTTTGAGAGTTGCCTGGGCAACATAGCAAGACCCTGTCTCTCCACAGAATAAACCAAATAGCCCACTATGAACTTCCTAAGTCTTTCTTGTTGCTTTTAGACATAGCACATTCTTTCTATTTCTTAGGAAGGCCACTTATATTTTATTTTACTGTTGCCTTTTTGTTTCACTTTTATGTAACATTTTTTCCTTTTCTTCAAAATTCTGCTAATATCCCAATCGTTTTATTGCGTCTTCCAAGTGGGTCTCAAAGTTTGTTTGTTTGTTTGCTTGTTTAATTTGGACTAAGACATTTTATTTATGTATTATAAGGTGAACAATAGAAGCAATTTTCTTTTTATTTTAACATATTTTTCATTTTAAAATTGTGGGGTGCAGTTAAGGGTTAGGCATACATATATGCATTGTGCAGGTACCCTTGTTGATGAGGTGTGCTCCCCCATCCCCAGACAGTTATTGACTACCGTTAATCCCACACCCCTTCCCCTCCTTGCCACCCCCCCATAGTTTCCCGCCACTGTCAATCCTTTTTCTTATAGTATTACGATAGTTGTTCAAGGTCCACTTATGAGTGAGAACATGTGATACTCAGATCTTTGTTTCTGTGAGAGATCATTCAGTATTATAAATTCTAATTCCATCCAGGTTGCTGAGAAATTCATGATTTTGTTCTTTTTCATGGCTGCATAATATTTCATTGTATATATGTACATTTTTTTAATCCAGTCCTCTTTTGATGGACAGCATGGTTGGCCCATGATCTTGCTATTGTGAACAATGCTGCAATAAACATACGTGTGCAGGTATCTTTTTTATAGAGTGGCTTGAGTTCTTCAGGGCATATTTCCAGTAGGGAGATTGCAGGGTAGCGATTTTCTTTATACTGTCTAACCAGGTGGTCTGAGAGATTTTTAAGGAAAGGTTTTCAAGTAAAACTTGACTCAATCTTGATGGTTTGAAATGAATTTTTTCTCAATTGGCAGAGATACACTGCATTGTGTGCAGGAGCCCGAGCCCTTGCCGGGCTGTGGGGCATGACACTGCAGGGACTGCAAGGTGTCTGGGTCCTGCGGTTGTTGATTTATGAGCACCAGACTAAGCAGATGGGATAAAAACACAGGGAGGTGTTGCCCTCATAAAACTTAAAAATCCACCTGCCACATCACCATCACATTGCAAGTGTTTTTCACAATCACAACCAAACTTCAGGTGCTTTTTTTTTTTGTTTTGTCCTGTTTTCTTGATTCTCAAATATCAATAATCTGGGGAGTAGGGCCTGGGCCAAGAGATAGGGTCCATGGGAAAAAAAGGTGACCACATCTCCCAGGATGGGGAATAATGCAATTGCTGGCCACAGAAATTGAGAATAGAGTAAGAAGCAGCAATTAGAAAAACAGACGAAATCGCCCAAGAAATAATGTAAGAAGATCAGTTTACGGCATTGTGCAAATACTTGACACAGGCACTATCTCCTCTAATCAATACCACAATCTAGATACTATCATCCCTCTTTGAAGGTGAATAAACTGAGGCTCTGCCAGAAGCTATCACTTGCCCAGAATCACAGCTAGATTGCCTGAATGCAGAGCCCAACCTCTTCAATACCTCAGCATGAAGGCAGGAGAGGGTCCTCTACGCTGTGTCCTTCCTGTTGTTATTCTGGGGCCATGTGACCTCAGCAGAGCTCAAATCCCAGAGACCCGGCCTCCCTTCTCCAACCCCAGCATTAAAGCAAGGAAAGCAGGTTTATACAGCAAGGGCACCACAAAGACAAAAACACAGGGTCTAAAAATATCTCCCCCACACACTCTAACTCATGGTCAAATTCCTTTCCCAGGAGGCAGTCTGGTGTACTGGAAAGAACAGTGGGCCAGGAGTCGGGGACTCCGCTGCTTGCAAGCCCAAGGCCCAAGATGTGACCAGGTTGCAATAGTGCCTAACTTGGATTTCACAGTTCCCTTCCAGTCAACCTTTCATTACTGAGAACAAGCTGGCTATAAAATACAGCAAGAATAGGCCAAGCTGAAGCAGAGAGAGACCCCTATAGCTGTGCTGGTGCCCAGGCATGTCCAGAATGACTGCCTACCCATGAACTGGGAGCAGCTGGAGAAGGCTCAGAAAGGATATCCCAAGAAAGTTTATGTCACGTAGGGTCCGCCCAGAGGGAAGAATCATACCTGGGTGCCGCTGCCTCTCATGATGTCCTCAGGGATGGCATAGATCTGGTTTTCCATCTCTACTTTCTGGAGTCCGTTGTCCATCACTTTCACCCAAAGCACACGGAAGTTGGTCCCTCCAAGGTCCAGAGCCAGGAACTCTCCATGTTCTGCAGAGGAAGGAAAGGCCATGATTAGTTTTGGGAAAGACAAGGCCAAAGTGCTCCAGAGACCAACCAAGACTCAAAATTCCAAATCTCTCCACGAACACAGGTCATCTATGGGTGAGGGGTAGCCAGTGGGATTTATTTATCTCTACACACATTTGGGTGTTGCCTGATTGTTCTTCCTTTTTATTTTTATCTCATAAGAGAATGTCTCACTCTGTCACCCAGGCTGGAACGCATTGTGCGATCACAGCTCACTGCAGCATTTAACTTCTGGGCTTAAGCGATCCTCCCATCTCAGTCTCCCAAGTAGCTGGAACTACAGGCATGCATCACTATACCCAGTTAATTTTTAAATTTTTTGTAGAGAAGTGTCTTGCCATGTTGCCCAGACGGGTCTCAAACTCCTGGCCTCAATCCTCTGCCTTGGCCTCCCAAAGTGCTGGGATTATAGGTGTAAGCCACCATGCCCAGCCTGATTTTCTTTTCTTTCTTTCTTCTTTTTTGAGTCAGGGTCTCACTCTTTTGCCCAGGCTAGAGTGCAATGGCATGATCATGGCTCACTGCAGCTTCAACCTCCTGGGCTCAGGCAAACCTTCTGCTTCAGCCTCCAACGTGGTGGGACTAGAGGTGCAAGCCACTATACTCAGCCATGGGGGGTGGGTAGAGACGAAGTCTCACTGTGTTGCCCAGGGTAGTCTTGAGCTCTTGGGATCAAGAGATTCTCCTGCCTCAGCCTCCCACTGTGCTGGGATTACAGGTGGCAGCCACTGTGCCCAGCCCCTGATTTTCTCAATGCTAAACATGTCCATATTAATTTTATAATTCCCATCAACAGTGAGACAGTTTCACATCGAACAATGGGGCACTCACCCCCTCACACAAGCCCCAACTATCTCTTGGGTGTCTTCAGAAGCCCTCAGCAAGCTCCCCGGGCCCAGCAAGCCCTGAGCCAGAGGTCCATGCCTCCATTTTGTTCTTCAGACTTCCAGAACACCCCCAGAAGCTACAGGCCTAAGAGCCCCCAGGTCTTCTGCCAAATTGTGACTACAGTACAAAATTTACTTTCTAATGTTCATATACTATGACAATGTCCTGCAGCAAGATCAGGTTTATTAAATGTGAGAGAATGCCAGCCCCTAAGTGTATTTTGCAAGAGTTGGGCCACTTAAACAAGCCACAGGATTGTGAGGAGACCAGGAATGGCAAAAGTGAGTAATCCAAAAATGAGCCACAGACACAAATGGTCCAAGATCCTCATGTGTCACTGGGAAGGCATGGTTCCTTCCCTCCAGGAAACAGCAGTGTAGACAGGAAACATCCAGACTCCGGACAATAATACAGCCGGCTACAGGGAAGTGCCCCATTGTATGGCACAGAATGAAAGTGCTGAAGAGGCACAGAGCCCACACAGCCAGGGCTGGGTGCTGGCAGGGCAGACAAGGTGCACCCCCATGGCAGCCGTCCCAACCAGGAATGGCTCTACCAGTCTTCTGCTGCCATCACAACCTTCTCTAAGGATACAAGGCAGTTTCCTGAGGGGTTCGCTCTTTGGCATACTTGTCAACACTCAGCCCCTTTCCCAATGGGAGACTGCCAATGAAGTAAGGCAGAATGGACCAGATGGTCAGAGAAATGCTATGACCCAACAAGGTTTATTCTGTGCCCGGGTCCCTTCAGCATCTCCAGCTCTTTGGCCCTAAAAAGAGCCATATCTTCCCAGCTCCCTAAGACTACCACCCAAAGTCTCTATCTAGAGTCCCAAGGGAAACCTGGAATAGCCATCATTCATCAGAGACCCCCACACAACCAGCATGAAGTAGAAGCTGGCTCTGGGATCCATATTATCTACGTCTGAATCTTGGCTACGTTTTAGCTGAAGTGTGTTTCTGAGCCTCTGAGTCTCATATGCCTCATCTCCAAAATGGGAACACTGCATTTCACTGGTTTTTGAGAGGGGAGGATTAGACACTGCACCTCAAGCACCCAGAACTGTACAAAGAACTCAAGACACCCTCACTAAGTATTAGACACTTTACTTTCTCTCTGGTTTCTCAGCAAACCCTGCCCCATGCCCACAATTGAGTCTCCAGGCCCTTGATAGCAGGAGATGCTGCAGAAACCTGCCAAGAAACGTCACTGGAATCAGTTCCAGTGACTGCGGCATTCCTCCACAGCAGCACCAATTTTCCACTCCCTACCTGGGGACTGGAGAAGGCCCCACCACCAGCTACAGTTGCCGGCTCGCTAAAGCAATGTTGACTGCATCTGCAGTGATTCCACCCTGCTCATGGCCACAGACGACTTTTCCAGACACTCCAGTTCTGAGCCTTCCCCGGTAGTGGGACCTCAGCCAGATTCTAGGAAACGCTATGTGGTGGCTGTCATGAGGGATGAAAAGGAAAACCAAAGATGAACTGCCTCATCAGCAGTCTGAAGTCCAGGACACACGCGATCCGCTGAATCAGTGACCGCAGGGGATGGAGGCGGCTGAGGCTGCCCTGGTTGGTCGTCATCCAAGGCCAGTCCAGCTGGACTCACTGGAGGGGCACAGCTCCATCAAGAATGGGGGTTTTGCCATATTTTCTGCTGGACTGAAGGGAAACCATAAATAATAAAGTATTGCTGATAATCCTGCTCCCAGGAAGGAATGTCACCCCTTGCTTTGCTTGCAAGGCTCTTCTGGACCAGACATTCCTCCCAATTCCTCCTCCCCGGCACTCCCTTCCATTAACACACATGACCACAACTACCACAGCCACGAGCCATACCCCTGAGTCTAGGGTCAGAGGTAGGCCCAGCACCATGACTCCAGAAATCCTGAGGTGACCCTTTGGGACAGTGGCAGCCTCCTTTCCTAATGCCTACCTCCTTTCCATGCATGAGAGGCCCCACAGAGCAGTAGCTAAGCGCTGGGCCTTAGAAACAGGTGGGCAGGCCTTGCTTTGATACCTGGCTCAGCTGCTTCACTACCTATGTGGTGTGCGCATCACAGGGCTCCCGGCATGCCATCTCACCTGCAGAACACACAGGGCTTATAATGCCAACTTCTCCCAGTGGCTTTGAGGCCTATGTGAAATATGGGCTTTGTTATATATGAATATATGGACACATGGAAAGACATCAATAAACAGTCACTGCTGTTGTCACTATTGTTATCATTCATTATTCCTTTGTTTGATTATGTAGCTCCTTTCCTCATCTCAGCCTCTCCAAACTCTACCTGCTGCTACTGATGGCCCAAGGTCAATCACCACTGTGAATCTCCCAAGACATTCCAGAAGCCCAGAGCATGTGAATACATGATGGGGTGTTTAGGGCGAAGACATCTGCGGGCCTGAGACAATCAGACTGGACAGGACATGGAAAAGGCTCTGGGCACACAAACGATATGTCTATAGCTGGTTTCTTAGGAAAGCATAAAGCCACATGGCAGAGGACCCAGGAGGGTTCAGAGAGAACATTCTATTGAGTAATTATAGCTGGTATTTGAGGCAACTTATTAAGAAATCATCTAATATTGCATTTACTCATTGATGGTTCATTTGCTAAACTAAATGTTTGTGTGCCAAGTATGGATTTTATATACGAGATCATGAGGTCAAAGGTTTCTTTTATCGTTAAGTATGTTTTTAATCTCTGGATAAAACTTTAGCTTTTTAAAAATAATAAAATACAAACACCAGATTTTTTTGTTTTGTTTTGAGTTGGAGTCCTACTCCATCGCCCAGACCGGGAGCAGCCACTGCAGCCTCGACCTGCTGGGGCTCCGGCAATCCTTCCGCCTCAGCCTTCCAAGTAGCTGAAATTAAAGGCGTGCGCTACCACGCCCAGCTAATTTTTTGATTTATTGTAGAGATGAGGTCTCACCAAGTTGCCCAGGAGGGTCTCGAACCCGTGGGTTCAGGCAATCCACTCACCTCAGCCTCCCAAGGCACAGGATTATAGGCTGAGCCACCGAGCCCAGCTTTTTAAAAGTTAAAACGGGGAGGCTGTTAACAGACATTTTCCAATTAAAGAGTTTGAATCACTGTTTCCAAAGATGTGTGGTTTGTTTTGTTTTGTTTTGTTTTTTCTTTGAGTTGGAGTCTCACTCTGTCGCCCAGACTGGAGTGCAGTGGCCGCTCCCGGCCACCGCAGCCTCGACCTGCTGGGCTCCGGTGATCCTTCCACCTCAGCCTTCCAAGTAGCTGGAACTACAGGCACACGCTACTACGCCCGGCTAATTTTTTTTTTATTTATTGTAGAGATGAGGTCTCACCAAGTTGCCCAGGCATGTCTCGAACCTCAGCCTCCCAAGGCGCGGGATTACAGGATGAGCCACCGAGCCCGGTTAGATGTGTGTTTTTAATTAGGCAGATATTGCCAAATTGTTTTCCTAGACCTCGTCATCAGTTTTCACTCAAACCAACAGGTATGTGTCATGCACCAGTGACCTCTATTACGTAGCAATTAATCTTTGCCAACCTGTCAGGTCAAAATGGTATGTCATTTTTTAAAAAACTTGGTTCCTTTCACTTGAGTAAAATTAGCATTTTGAAATATTGAGTGACCTTTTAAATTCCTTTTTCTGTGAATCATCTATTCATGTCTCTTCTGTTTTTTAAACATATATTCACTATTTTCTTAAAAATCTAAAAGAGTTCTTTGTATATGAAAGAAAATAGCTTTACTGATTATATATTCGCAATTATTGTTCCCAGCTGTCTTTTATTTTTGTTCGTGCTATTTGGCCATGCAGAAATGTTTAATTTTATATCATGAAAATATTTGATTTCTAGGTTTTTATATCTTGTTCCTAAAAATTCACCACGGGTGAATAAACAGATTTTTTCACCATGGATTTTTTTAGATGCCGAAATTCATTTTCTGCTTTCAAAGGTGATCTTTCTTGAAAAATGAAATCCAGGACTCTGTCTTCATTTCCCTTGTCCCTGGAACAGAGTTCAGCCTTTTTCACTCGCATCTGGGTTATTGTGGGAGTTAGGGTTAGGATTAGGGAA